ACCGACAAGGACGACGCCGGCTGGTGCATCACCATATCGTCGTGCAAGCTATCTGCTGCAACACCGCTGGCCAGCCCACGCTTGATCCACGCATGCAGCCCCGCACTCTCCTCCATCGTCATCGGGCGCATCTTGTTGCTGCGCATTTCATCCGCGCTTACACTGCCAGCCGGTTCGCTCGCAGAGCTGTTGTTAGCCGAGGAGCTGCCGCCATCCACCTGCTGCGTCATGGCCGAAATCGACCGCCTCACGCGCTCAATCAGCGGCGGCTCACCCGACGCCTCGCTCTCGTTGCGCTGCTTCGCGCCAGAGATAAGCAGCCGGGACTCGGCCGCTGGCAGAATGCCCGCACTCTGCGAGCCTCCTGCCGTCAGCGAGTTGTCCGACGTGTAGAGCGACGGCAGGGTGAAGAGCGAGAACGAAAACAGCATTGCCATCAGAACCGCTCCCATTGCACGCGGCTTGGCCACTGCCGGCTGCACCGACAGCTCAGTACTGCCAGCTTGCTGCTGCTGCTGCTGCTGCTGCTGCTGTTGGGTCTTGGGTGCGTTGACCGGCAGGGACACGCGCGGCCGGATGGTCCGCGGCACAGCATTGGCCGCCGCCTTGGCTGCCGCCGCCTGGCGCAGTGAGTTCTGGGCCGAAGGAGCTCCAGGCTTCAGGGAAGCCGGCAGCACAGGCGCAATGGAGCTCAGCAGCGAGCCGCCGACAAACTCCTCGTCGACCTGCATGGCATCCGAGGGCTTCGATGCGGCGGCCTGGCTGTCACTGCGCTGGCCCGCCACTTGCCCGGCGCTCTTCTTTTGCTGCTCGCCGCTGGTGGAAGCAGCAGTGGACGAAGGCTCCGATGGCGAGGCGGTGGTTGTGGCAGCAGTGGTGCGTCTGAGCTGGTCGCGCTCCGCTGCCATAGCATTGAGCCGCTGTTCCATTTCCTCGAGCCGCTTCACCAGCGACGTGTTAGACTCGCGCAGCTCCTCGACCTCGGACTCGAGCTTGGTCAAGTACTCGCGCTTGCGCTTGCGGCTCAGCAGCGCTGCCGCACGGTTCTTGATCAGTCTCTCCTGCCGCTTCTGCGCGGCTGGGTCGGCGCTGCCGCCTGCCTGCTTTGCTGGCGCCGCTGCCATGGGGGCAATCGACGGCTTGCGTGCCTGAGGGGCGTGTGCCTGTGCAATCGGACGCAGCCCATGGTCGGGGTCGGCCACCTGCATGGGCGCCTGCTTCTGTGCCATCTTTGCCAACACGCTCAGCCCAGGCGGTGTATTTGAGCCCGAGCGCGGCTGCCCACTGGCTGACTGCACCTGCGGCTGCTGCCGGGGAGCCAGAGGTGCAATGAGGCGCTGCGAAGCGTTGCTGCTGTTGCTGCTGTTGCTACCGTTACTGCCGCCGCTAACGCTGCGAGCTGTAGGAACCGTAGCCGGCGCTGCTGAACGTGGCGGGGACGGTGCCAATGGCCGCGGCCGCACATTCTCAGACGCACGACGTGGCGACGAAGCATTACTGCCCGATGAGGCCACGGCGGTAGCTGGTGTGGAGCCCCTTACTGCCTGTGCTGCTTCTGTAATACCGGCTACCTTTGGCGGCGCAGTGGGTCGCCGCTGCTTCTTGGCTGGCGGCGGAGTGGCAATAGTAGAGGGAGATTCAGACACAGACAATGTCTTTTGTGGGGCAATATTCGCCATTGGCGTTATCAGGCTAGTGAACGGCAGCGACGCCAGAATCGGCACCTCTGCGCCCACGCCGCTTGTTGTGATTGTGCTCATAGCTGGGACCGACGTTTCGCCCACCGGGCTGCCGGAGCTGGCGCCACATAGGGCTGCTGCCGACGACAGCATTGACACCAGCATGTCCGGCGACGCATTGGCAATAGCCGCAACCGTCGACTGATCCAGGATATCCATGCTCGGCTCTGCCGGTGAAAACGACAGCGGGTTTGTGGCCGCACTGGCCGCCGGAACCAGCGACAGCGGCAGTGGCGATCCGCCATTCTGCACTGGCATCATCACTAGTGGACTGCTACCAAACGCTGCACTTGAGAGCGACGGCATAATGGCATCAACACTCACCGCGCGCGACTTGCTATTGCCATCCATGGCCTCCGTGTTGACAAACTGCTGCAGCCACCCGTCAAGCATTGCATCTGCGGCGGTAGTTGTGCCCGCCACTGAATTATCCACTGTGCTCGGAAACATTGGCTCCTGGGGCCCCCAGCCTGTGCTTGATGTCGCCAGCGGATCCGCCGCACTGAAGGAACCGTGGTTGCTGCCTGAGCTCATGGACCATGCCGGCGACGAACCGCCGCCACCCACAGGCGAATCAAAAGTGAACCCACCAGCCCCTGCACTAAGCCCACTGAGCACGTCGCTGAGCTGCTGCGAGTACTCTTGCAAATCGGCGTCGCTCATTGCCAGTCCAGACTCATCGCCGCCCTTGGCAATAAATGTATCGTCAATTGAATTTCCACCTAGGGCTAGCGTTGACGCCTGCTTGATGGCTGTAGGCGCTTTTGTCGTCCGCTTGGGTTTTTGCGTTGCTCCAGCCATTTAAAAAGCGTGTGTATAGAGATAATAGCGGTATGAGACAGATAGGAGGCAGGAGGAAAGAGGAAAGATATAATGTGCTTTGCACGCAGGAAAAATAGAGGAGAGGAGGAAAACAGGGAGGCCAAGAACGAAAATCTAATGACCCCTTCAGAAAAAAAAAATGCCAGCCTGACGATTTTCCCATCCCGTTTCCGCGAGGTTGAAAAGTAGGAGCGATGCACGCCCATGCGTGATGATCAGCTTTTAATAGTCATTGGGGGGAGTAAAATGGCTGCTTTCTTTTTCGCCATGAGGGGTCCGCAAGCAGCTGACACAACCTGTGTCCTGTCGCGCCCTCAAACCTCCACATTGCTCGAGACTAAAGGAAACGTTTTATTCAGTTGAATGCCTCCGCAGCCTGCTCTGCGGCCATGGCCAGCGAGCTGGCAGCCTTCACAGTCTCAGCCAGCTCCTTCTCAGCCAGCTCACACTTGGCCCTAATCTCCTCTGCCTGCTTATTGGCCGCGGCCACTTCCCCGCGCAGACTCTCGGCCTGTTGCTCGGCAGCCTGCAGCTTCTCTTCGACCGCGGTCAGCTGGTCCACAGTGATTGCCTTGTCGAGGCGGTCCTGCAAATCGCTGGCCGCGCGCTGGCTCTCAGCGGCCAGTTGCTCGGCCTGCGCCAGCCGCGCCAGAACGTCCTCCTCGCGCTTCTGCAGCGCTGCCACTGCACTCTGCGTCTGCGTGAGCTCGCCCTGGACCTCGTCTAGCTGCGCACTGAGCGCCGATGCCTGCTCCGCGGTCGCCTTGGACGACGCAGAGTGCTGGCTGGCCGCATCTGCGAGCTGCTTCTGCAGCTGCTCGTTCTCGGCACGCAGGCGGTCGAGCTCGGCCGATGACGAAGCTGCAACAGCCGGCGACGGCGACCGGGTGCCAGGGGTTAGCTGGCTGCGGGAAGTCGCTACGGGCGCTGCTGCTGGTGCTGCTGCTGCCACTGGGGCAGGCGGCGGGGCAGGCGATGCTGACGGAGCCGGCGACCTGCTCGGTGTCGACTGGGCCAATGGCGAGGGAGCAGCCACAGCCGGCGCCGGTGCCGCCGAGGTCGCAATCTGTGGCGCACTGCCGCCAGCAATCAGCGGGCCATTGTTGAAAATGGTCTCCATATCGACTGTGACAGGCTCGGCGGTCTGGCCCGCGAAATACTCATCGGCCGTCATCGCCGCCCTGCCTGCGTGTGCTGGCGGGTAGATGTCGCTCTGGAACGCCTCTGACTTGCGCGGCACGCGGAACGAGATCGGCTCGATCAACGAGTTTGACGCGACCTTGTAGAACCGCATCACCTCGCAGGTCTTCACGTCCACACCACGCTTGGGCATCACGCCCAGTCCGCGCTGTGGCTCCGGCGACTGGTACTCTGACAAAAAGTGCAGCTTGTCGCTGTCGTACTCGTAGTACCGGATGTTTCCGTCGCCCTTGCCTGCCACATACAGCATGTTTGTGCTGGCGTCGTAGAACGGCATAAGCATGCCCGACGAGAGATCAATGTCCTGCTTCAGCAGCGGCTTCTCCAGATTCGTCGCGTCCCACAGATACACCTCGCGGTCGCTGGACCGAGCAAACCCAGTGGTGACCAGGCGCGGCTCACGGCCGAGCCAGGTGACGCGCGACCCCTTGACGCCCTGGTGCGACACGCCCTCCTGCACGAGCTCGCCCGAGCGTGCATCAAACACCCGCAGCTTCTTGTCGCGGCACGTCGCTGCAATCAACACTCCGTCGTGGCTCCAGTCCATCGAAAGGATGTTGTCCTTAAAGCCCTGCAGCGTCTGCCTGGCCTGCCCGCTGGCCACATCCCAGATCTTCACCGTGTAGTCCGAGCTCGACACCGCCAGCACGTTCTCGGCCACTGGGTTCCACGCCACGTGTCCGACCTTGCGCCCATGCCCTGACAGCTTCAACAGCGGCGTGGTTACGTTCTCCTCGCGCTCCAGCAGGTCGTCGGGCACCCGCCAGATCATCGCCGTGTGGTCCTCGGCTACCGACGCAATAATGTCATCGTCGAATGGCGAGAATGCCGTGTCAAGCACTGCTCCTGCGTGCGCGCTGAACAGCGGGAAGTCGCCGCGCAGCTTTCCCACCTGCGAGAGTGGCACCACGCAGAAGGCACCGCCGCCTCCAGCATCCCAGTTGGCCGCGACGTATTTGGGGTTGGCCGTGACAAAGTTGGTGTCCCACGCGCCCAGAGAGATGCGCAGGCTTTCGTAGCACCCCTCGCGCTTCGATGCTGTGCCGTACACGTGCCGGTACTTGCTAGGTCGAACAAACGAATACATGGCCGTGCGCTACCAATAACTACAAGTGTAAAGGGGTGTAGTTAGCGAGATGACTGCTGCCACAGCCAATTCGGGGCCCCCGCCAAACGCACTGTGCCGTCCTCACCTTGAGATGGGATAAATGTGTGAGAGTAGAAAGAAAATGGTGGTTTAATTGACGCCTGCAAAAGTAGAAAAGAGGTTTACCGAAAGGTTTGAAGCCCAGCCGGTCAATTATTACTACCGCCAAATTGCCTAGAAGCTTGGGCGCCCAATGTTCCCACCCTAACCCCGGACTGCCGGGCTGAACAGAAGCTGCGAATGCTACAGCTTGGACTGTGTCAAGTATCTGTTTTCGACCATGGTCAGCAGCGCATAAACCGTCTCGAGGTGGGGCACCTCGACCCCGTGCTTCTTGGCCAGCTCGATCGGGTTGCGCAGAATCACCGCGTGCTCCATCGGCCGCTTCGCGCGGAAGTCCATTAGCATCGACGGCGTCACTGGCTTCGGCAGCATATCCGTGTTGTTGATGATATCGTCAGGCTTCTCGAACCCGCCAAGATAAACCAGCTTGCTGCCTGTGACCGTCTCGCCCGCCTTGATAATCTCGACCATCAGACTGCGAATTAGCGCCTTGCACTCGGCGCTGTCGAGCATTTGTCTGGTGTCGTTGCCACCAGAAACAACAGAGACCGTGTTGAACGATGCGTTCCAAACAAGCTTCGCCCAGCGAGACTTTTGGATATCCTCGGATATCAGAACATGAACACCATTGTCTCTCCACATCTCGCCCAGCTCCTCCACGCGAGCAGCCACCGAGCCGACATTGTAGTTGGCTGTTGTGGGGCTGAACAGACCCATGTCCAGCAGAGTAACCACCCCGTGATTGATGGTGCCGCTGGAGGGCTGGCTTGAGTCGAGATAGGCAACAGTACTGACGATGGGGTTGTTTGGGTACCGCGCAGCATACGGGCCCTCGATCCCAATGCCGTTCTGAATCAGCATGATGATCGTGCGCGGGTCCCGAACCGCCGGTGCAATGATGTCAGAGCTATCCACCAGGTTCGGCAGCGCCTTGGTGCACACAATGACAAAGTCATAGATTTCCCCGTCGGCAACAGCCTCGGCGACAGTGCGCACAACATTATGCGGGCGGTACACCTCATCGCCAAATGCCAGCGAGTTGATGCGGAACCCGTCCTTCTTGACAGCTTCGTAGTTCGACCGGCACACAGTCGTGACATGCGCTTTGCCACTGACATCCAGACGCCAGGCATAGATACTTCCAAGCGCGCCAGTGCCAACCAGCAGGACTTTGATAGGGGAATTGACAGCAGCCATTGCTTAGAAAGTGAGCTTCAGGTGTGAAAAAAGTGTAGTGGGTGGATGGAAGATGCAGAAGAGCAAGCAAGCAGCGACAGCAGGACCCTTCTCTGGCAAAGCATCTTATTTCCACGGAGTGGCCCGGGCTCCGTGAGAGAAGCGATTGTCCGCTTTTTGCCACAGAAATCCACCCACGAGAACATTCCCAGCCGCTTGCCATCATGCTTTTATGCACCAAGCCCATCTGCTATATAGGCACCATCATTTATTGCACACGATTAGGGATCACTTCAGATAACCTTTCTCAATCATAGGCAGCAGCGCGTAAACAGTCTCGAGATGAGGCACCTCGACGCCATGCTTTTTTGCCAGCTCTATCGGATTGCGCAGAATAACCGCATACTCCAATGGTCTCTTGGCGCGGAAGTCCATCAACATCGACGGAATAGTTGATGTCGGGAGCCCATCTGTGACTTCAATGACACCCTCGGGCGTTGTCTGGTTATTAAGCGAGGTCAGCTCACTTCCAGTCACTGCCTTCCCTGCCTTGAACACCTCAACCATCATCTTGCGGATCAGCTCTGTGCACTCCGGACTACCCAGCATCTGCCTGGTGTCGTTGCCACCAGAGACCACCGAGACAGTGTTGAACGAGGCATTCCAAACAAGCTTGGACCAGCGCGATACCTGGATGTTGTCGGATATTCTAGTTTCCACGCCACTAGTGGTCCACGCCTGGCAGATTTCCTTGACACGGGATTGGACCGACTTGACGTCGTAGTTGGCAGCCGTCGGGTTGAACAAGCCCATGTCCAGAAGCGTGAGGGTCCCATGTCTGACGGTACCGCTGCTTCGGTTGATTGGCATCAATATACGAGATAGTACTGACAATGGGGTTGTTTGGATACCGCACAGCATACGGGTCCTCAATACCGATGCCATTCTGGAATCAGCATAACGGCTGTATGTGGGTCCTGAACTGCCGGAGCAATGATATGCGATGTATCGCCCCGATTCGGCAGCGCCTTGGTGCACACAATCACAAAATCGTAGACCTGTCCGTCAGCGACAGCCTCATTGACAGTGCGCACAACCCTGTGGGGGTGATAGACGCTATTGCCAAATATCTGAGAGTTTATACAGAATCCATCCCTCTTGACCGGTCTCGTAATTGGACCTACACACGACTGTAACCTGCGCCTTGCCGCTGACATCCAGACGCCAGGCATAGACGCTTCCAAGCGCGCCCGCACCGACCAGCAGGACCTTGATGAGAGAATCGGACGTAGTCCATCGATTGCCACAGGAGCACGAGGTAGTATGAATGGCGCGTGTGTAGGAGAACGAGAATGAGAACGAGAGAAGTCATGTGCAGAGTGGCAGCAGCAACTGGACATTTATATTACTCACATTATTTCCAGCTTGGGAGAAACGATTTTCCGTTTTTTGTGGAGAGGCACGCGCAGTGCAGCATGATCTATACAGGCCATCTGCCAATTTCCAGCAGCGGACCTGGGCCAGCACGCGCCTCTGTCATATCGTGAGAACATATTGGCGATCTGGGTTTATTTTAACCTTGTTGTGAGTCATTGCAGATACCCCTTCTCGACCATGGTCAGCAGAGCGTACACGGTCTCAAGGTGCGGAACCTCGACGCCGTGCTTCTTGGCCAGCTCGATCGGATTACGCAGGATCACCGCGTGCTCCATCGGCCGCTTCCCGCGGAAGTCCATTAGCATCGACGGGATGACGGTCACAGCACGTGTCTCTGTGTCCTCGATGACCTGATCAGGACCAGACCGACCATTGAGCGCAGGCAGCTTGCCCCCCGTCACTGCCTCGCCAGCCTTGTACACCTCGACCATCATACTACGGATCAGTGCCTTGCATTCAGGATTCGCCAACATCTGCTGTGTATCGTTGCCACCCGAGACCACCTGAGGCCGTGTTGAACGATGCGTTCCAGACCAGCTTCGCCCAGCGCGCTTTCTGGATATCCTCCGAGAACTTGTACACGACCCCGTGGTCGCCCCACACCTGGCACAGGTCCTTGACACGAGCCATTGCCGAATCCACGTCGTAAGTTGGCTGTCGTGGGGCTGAACAGACCCATGTCCAGCACAGCAAAGTTGCCATGGTCGATCGTGCCATCGGTGGGCTGGCTGGCATCGATGTAGGCGATGGTGCTGACGATGGGGTTGTTCGGGTACCGCGCAGCATACGGATCCTCAATCCCAATGCCGTTCTGAATCAGCATGATGATCGTGCGCGGGTCCCGAACCGCCGGTGCAATGATGGACGAGGTATCGCCTAGGTTCGGCAGCGCCTTGGTGCACACAATGACAAAGTCGTAAACGTCTCCGTCGGCAACAGCCTCGTCGATAGTGCGCACAACCCTGTGCGGGCGGTAGACCTCGTCACCAAATGCATGCGAGATGATGTGGAAGCCGTTTTCCTTGACGGTCTCGTAGTTTGACCGGCACACAGTCGTGACCTGGATCTTGCTGCTGACGTCCAGGCGCCAAGCGTAGACGCTGCCCAGCGCACCGGCGCCGACTAGCAGGACTTTGGTAGGAGAATCGGGGGCAGACATCGCAAAGAGTGAAAAAAGCAGATAATGCGAATTGAGAGGAGGAAACCAAGCTTGAGGAGCCGCCGCAACAAGCCGAGCGAATCGCCACTATTCTTATACTCCCAAATCTTGGGCAATCTGTGCGCCATCCTGTTCTTGTAGAGACGGCGCGATTGCCCGCCAGACCAAACGGTGTTGCAGCTGTTTTCCCACACCTTGCGCATCGCAAAGGTGTCGCCGTTTTTGTTGAGAATGCCGCCCCTCGAATCAGGATTGCTCTTCCAGTTTTCTAAGCAATTCCCCAATTTGGGATCTAAAGGCATGGCCAGCCATTAGACCACCGAGTCCACCAGCGGAGCCCATCGCGCAGTCGGGAGAGAAGCCAACCCCCGCCCAGGCAACAGAGGCTATAGCGTAAGACTGTGGCGTAACCATACCTGTCTCTCGCAAGTTACTGGCTTCCGCCGGATGTGGCTGCCTCTTTGGATAGGGTCTTGAACCTACAGAAGAAAAGCTAGAAAGTGATGCTAGTGTAGACTGCTCTGCAGTGCGAGGGGAGGAGGTCAACAAGGGCAGATACTTAGCAGACTCGTGTGCATAAAGAGAAAAACTCTGAGAGCAGATCCTATGGCTGTATATGCCACTCCAGATGCCCTCTGCCAGTGCCAAAAAGCTGCGACCAGAGACATTTAGACCCAGATACAACTCGCTGTGTGCCTGCAGAGCGGGTCACGCATCTTCGTCTCAAGACCAGAGGAGTATGATTCCCTTCAGCCAAACAGACGCGCTGCCAGCCGGTCGGACACCTCAGGACCGGAAAGTATTAAATCTGGTGCGAGAATAGGCTTTTAGATATGTAATTTCTCTGGCACGATCTGCGCAACTACTGCCTCATCTCGCTCGGCCAGATCGCGAACTAGCGCGTGCAGCCACACACTGTCGGCATGTGGATGTAGTCTATTTTAAAAGAAAAGGATGAAAGGGATGTTCGCTGCGAGAGAGATGGCCGTGTTACAAATATATACTGCCTCACGCCTTGATCGCCTCCTCATCATCGCTGTTGTCTTCGACATCAGTGTCGTTTTCCAACTCCTCCTTGGGCTCCTGCTCATCCTCATCGTCGTCCAGCAGCTCGTCGCCGTACTCCTCGGGGTGGGCGCGGAAGCAATCCTGCATGGCCTTGAACTTGTCAATGCAGTCCATACCCTTGGGCTCTTCCTCCGAGTACACAAAGCACGAGAACGCCGACTTGAACTCCTCACCGCATGTTCCGTGCGCCATGCCGCCGAGACACGGGCAGTCCCAGTTGATCTCGCCGGTCTCTGGATCGAACGCCTGCGAAGGCGAGTCGTCCTGCTGCTTAGACTCCTTCTCCTCCTTGGCCTGCTCTTGCTCCTGCTGCTGCTCCTGCTGCTGCTGCGGCTCCTCGCGGGCACCCAGATCAACGCTGTCCAGCGTGGTTGTGGTGTTGTCCAAGCTCGTCGACATTTTATTTTACAATGGGGGTATCACTGAAGATTCGAATTGACCGCAAATTAACTGAAGCGAGGATAAAGAAGGTTGCCAGGATTCTGTCGACAAGCTCGATCCCGCTGCTACGATTAAATAGACGCACCCAGCTTAGTAATGGACTTTTTTTTTTACAGTAATCACCTCCTCGCTGAGGCGGGAAAAATCTACCGCCTGTATCTAGATCAAGAGCTGCGCCTCAGCAATTGGCCACACCAGCAATATCCTATCACGTGCAATGGTCCCAGCGGTTTGTCTCAACATTGCTGGATATCAGTGCACATGAACCAGCCATCGAAGACGTGGGTCACACAAGAGGAATGTATCCCATTGCACTATCTAGACCCTTGCTATATGCTGCACCTGCAAAACACTAATATATATATATATATATCTCTCTGTCAATTTGCAGAAAACGGTGTCTACACCACGACAGCCATGAGATATTTATTCAGCATACTTGGAAAGCTTGGGCTCGTCATACTCAACATAGGCTCCAGTTAGCTCATGTTCAGCAAAGAGCGCAAGGTTCCCAATAATACGCCCGGAAATTTCTGGCGTGATCTTAGTAGAAACAACATAGTCAATAAATTCACCACGCTCAGGCTCAGCGTCCCTTGCGTTGGTGAAGAAGGTCGTCAGCATGTCGGTGTCGACAATACCTGGGTGGACTGCAATGGCAGTGATGTCGGGCTCCTCCAGTGCCAAGGTTTGGGTCATGTAGCTGATAGCTGCCTTGGAACCGCTATAGCCAGCCTGGTTCTTAACAGGAGTCTTGAAGACTGCAGAGGTCAGGTTGATGACCCTGCCCCTTGACTGGCGCAGCTGCGGCAGAGACTTCTTGATTAGGCCCAGGGGTGCAAAGACATTGATATCGAATTGCTTCTTCCAGTCGTCCACAGCAACATCAGCAATAGGCGCAAACGGCTCAATGATAGCCGCGTTGTTTACCAGTGCAGTCAAGGTGCCATTTTGGGTAGCAAGATCGACAGCCTGCTGCTGCACAGATTCATCGGTGACATCACCAGCCACAGGAATGAACTTTGCTGATGTCTGAAGCTTGCCTGCCTCCTCTGACACAATTTCAAGAGCACTGGTACTGCGGGCAAGGCCGACAACGGAGACGTTCTTGGATAACAGATGGAGTGTGATGGCCTTCCCAATTCCGCGTGAAGCACCAGTGACGATAGCGATGCTGTTGCTTGAGGTAGTAGCCATGGTTGCGGGTTTCTATTGTTATTAGGTGGATACTAAAGAGGAGAGCTGACGGTTTGGATACTGCCGGGCACACCATGCCCTTTTAAGCCATTCGTTGTCATAAGCTGCCTGCAAATAAACAAACAATTTAGTCAGTACTATTGTGAATGTAGATGACACATGCAGTGCGGGATTCGTTGTTGGTGGATATTCACACACCTCCTATGATGCGGAAATTTTGACATTGCACCAATGCTTATAATAATTGCGTCTCTGGCTGTTCCGCCCTTTCTGTCTTTGATACTGATGTACATGCATTTTCTCATCAATTGCTGGGAACCTCAGGGAAGACAATTTCCGCACCTTCTATCCGGCATTTCAAGGGCATGCCTGCTTGAATCTGAAGGCTAAAGCAAAAATAGATCTGCAGTAGACTGCAGACGCGTGTGTGTGAACTACAGCTCAAAAATCAATGATCAGACATCACTGGCCTAAATCGATTTTGTCAGCCCGGCTGATGTATACTCGCTGTTTCCTTACTTCTTCCGAGCACATGTAAGCCTTGATTTGCTTACTAAGACAAACTGAATTATGTAATATCGCTGCTGGCCCTTGGGTAATGTTGTGTCTCAGCTACGATACACTTGGATAGATAACCATTTGCAACTGTCTGGTGAACGTCTTCTCTCTAGGCACCTTTCAACCACGTATATTGGATGTATGAAACATGCTATATGAAAGAAGAAAGGAGGAATCGCCAGGTGAAGGGGACGGGTGCCTGTCCAAGTAGTGATGTTAGTCGACTGGAGTAGTATGGGTCGCCATTGTGCCCGAGAGGTTTTGATCCATGGGTTCCTGAAATCATGAGGATTTGGAACCACATGTCTGCTTCTTAGATACATTGAATGAACTAGAATAGTCACCTCCATTACTTTTATACTATCAGATGGTTCTTCTTGTCGACACATCATACATATACAAATGAATAGAAAAAGCGACTTAACCCCGATATACAAGAGATACAAAATTAGTAGTTGAATATATGTGACGGCAGCAGTTGCAGTGGCTATATGTTTCACCTTGCTAACGGAACACACCAGTAGGTTCTTTAAAATATATTGGAAGGATAGAAGAGAATATTGCCATTTGGTACCGATGCAAGTTATTGAGAGTACGTAGCGCAGACTCGAAGCCCTCATTTGTGCCATGTACTCACTTCAACATACCATACGTCGTCCTGAATTCCCGCTTACAAGCAGCACTTTAATGTCTTACCTAGGAATACATAGGATTGTGGTCAATTGGCAGATCATATAGATAGCTTTATGGCTATTCATTACTCATCGCAATCAAGGCAGCACGAATTAAATAATGCAATAGCTTTTGCAGCTGCAGTGAGGTTGCAGTTGTGAGTAGCATGCTTTATCTGTACTCATTATATTTTCATGAGAGCCAATTTTAGGCATCGTATTCAGTACTCGGTACATGTTCTAGTGAATGGTTGCTAGCGAGCATCTCTTTATATCACACATACAAGTGAAGTACGCATATCACGGCATATATGCAACTAGACTAGTCCCATTTAAACAAATACAGCAGCGCTTCTGCAATTGCAGAATCATAGATCTCAATAAACTGGACTACCTATGATTTCCTCATTGTCAATGCTGGAATGGGGTATCTCAGTATTTGTCTCGCTAAGAAGAGTGCCTCAGGAGTTTTGTAATGTGCTCGTTCCGCACAGGCATTCCTCAGCCAAGCGAGAATCATCAGAGATTTATCAAGCGATTAACATTTATGAGCATTTTTGTCATGCGTTTTTCAGTCACCAGCATGGCACTTTGAGCGCCCGCCAGATAAGCCTGTCGCCTTTCGCCTCTCTACTCTCCGTTGCAGGGTTTTGACAAACACATTTTCTTCAATTACACAGTATGAATCGGGTGCTGAACCGGCAGCAATAACACTGCGCAGTCCGCTAGTGGCTCGGCGTACGGTCAGCCGTGCTTCTGAATGAGCGCAACAAATCGCAGTCCCCTGCAGTCCCAGTCACGCCAGACGAGGACAGTTCGCGTGTCACCAAGGTATCACGCAACCTGAGCAGCATTTTCCAGAGCAAGCAGCAGCCGGCGCCTGTTGACCCGCGCTTCGAGGTGGTTGATTCTGGCTACGGTTCCTTGGTCCTCGCCAAGATGCCTGCGTACTCGCAGTTCTACGCACAGGTCGGACAGACGCTTGGCCAGTCACCGCACGTCACGTCGCGGGCCACCACAAAGGGCGCTGTGGCAGTGGCAGCATTGAGGCCGCTGTTGGGCCGCCGAGCGTTTGTGCAGGAAATCTCGACCGAGGAGACCCCGGCGGACGTGTTGGTGGCGCCCAAGCTCACCGGCGATGTGTCGGTGGTCGAGCTCGATGGGTCAGTGGACTACTTTGTGCGCAGCGGATGCCTGCTGGCGCAGACAAAATTTCTAAATGTGTCGACGTGGAGCGGGCTGGGCGCTGGATTCAACGCACTGGCGTTTGACCGGGTCGGCGGGCGCGGCACAGCAGTTATCAATACGTTCGGCGGTATGCATCGGCTGGTATTGAAAGAGGGCGAGGAGTTCATGGTTGATCCGCGGTATGTCGTGGCGTGGACGTCATCGCTGAGCATTGAGCCACAGTCGGGCCGGCCAAAGTCGCTCAAGGCTGCAGAAGTCGCAGCGAGTGAGACTGCCAGACCTGCTACAGAGGCCACCAAGCCGATAGTCGAGGCAGAGAAGCCGCGGGTTGCGCCGCTGATGGGCAACAGCCCGTCGGTGGACAACAAGGTCGCGCCGCTGAGCAAGTCACCAGCAGAAACCACACAGAAGATGCGCCTAACGACCCAGGGCAAGAATGAGTGGGCGGCAAAGATCCTGTCGCTGCAGTTCCTGCAGCCGGCATGGCAGGCAGTCAAGGGTGGGTTCAAGAGCGCAGTATATGTATCAGCAGACGCAGTCAGAGTTAGCACCTGGGCAGCAGCCAAGACCATCAAGACCGTGGCAGGCGTGCCGGACCTGTATCGGGTCACTGGACCAGGGTACATCTATGTGTCGACCAGGCTTGTCCCGCGGCCATGGACTAGGCTGACGAGCGGCGTTTCGAAGTAATTAATAATAATTGAATGATTCGGAGGGTTGCGGTGTTTGTTCGTCGGTGAGGCGCGGATGTGGGTGGATATATGGTGGCGATTGTGTGTCCAACTGATGTCGGAGAAAACAAGCGCTGCTTGCTTGTCGCTAGGGCTTGGTTACACAAGCCCCGCCTATGGCCACAGGCCCTGTGAATAGAGGAAGGGAGCTTGCCCTTGCCTCCGCTCTTTCAGCCTTGCTTCTCTGCACCCGCTTTCATATCTTTGTAGTTTTTGAGCCAACCCTCATCAGTAGCAAAGATGGCCAGGCTCGACATGGGCGACATGCTGCCCAAGGAGGCTATCAGTCAGCGTATCACCGGCGACACGCAGTTTATGTTCCAGTTCTACAAGCCCTGCATCCACTACTTTGAGCCGTCCTCATTGATATCGACCATGAACGAGCCACGTCTCCGCCAGTCGCTCAAAGTTGCCCTGCAAACCTGTCCGCTGCTGTTCTCGCGGTTCGTTGTACAGCCGGACCTTTCGGTAACCCTCGACTACTCTCCGGCGAACCCAAACCTGCCGACGCTGGAGTTTGCACACTCCCGGCTGACATTCCGCGAGGTACGCAGCAACAACTTTGCATATGCGTTTGCGCAAACGCACAAGCTGGACATGCCGATCCCCGACGGCACCATCAAGCGCAGCATGGACACCCCCATGCTGATGGCAAAGGTAACGTACATGTCCGACGGCGGCATTGCCATGTTCTCAATGACCAACCACGTGGCCTTTGATGGCAGCGCCATGTTCCACTTCCTGGCGCACTGGGCGAAATGCTGCCGCGCCATCGGCACGCACACCACGGTGGCCAGGCCGGCAGAGCTCGAGCCGTATGCAGTCTCCCTGGTGGCCCACACGGACAGCGACCCAGAGTGCGGCCCGCAGGAGATTTCGGTGGACGCAACGCGGACGCCGCAGCAACTCATGTTAGCCAACACCAAGAGCGTCAGCGAGCTGCAGGCGTGCGTGTTCAGCATTAGCCTGGCCAATGTCCAGAGGCTGAAGAAGCAGACCGAGCAGAGCGGCGTGCTGGACAACGACGAGTGGGTGTCGAGCAATAATGCCGTCGCCGCATTCGTGTGCCAGTGTGTGGCGCGCGCCAACACCGACGCCCAGGTATATGAAGCCCAGGACTGGACGTTCTTCCAGTCTCTGGATATGCGCCACCCCCTGGGCCTGCCAACCGGCGGACTCGGGTCGCCGCTCATTCTGGCCGAATGCAGCGTGCCGCTGGCGGCCATATACGAGCCCGCACAGCTGCCCGAGATCACGCGCACCATCCGCCAGTGCGTGAACAAGTACGACAAGACGTACTGCCAGGAGGCCATGGACTGGATGAACTCGTCATACGCCTGCCTTGCCAAGACTGTTAGCGAGCCATGGCGCCATTTCTGGTTCACGGCACTGAACACGAATCGCACTGCCGTCGGTGTCTCGTGCATGAACAGGATTCCAATCTATGATGTGGATTTCGGGCTGGCAGACCGGTCATGGCTAGGTCGTTCAACCCACGCCCCAACTACATCATTGTGTTTCCGGGCCCGCCAGCCATGACGGCACGGTATGCGGCGATGCCAATGGCGTATGACTCGCTGCATCTGTATGTCACGCTGGAGAAGCCGGCGATGGAGGCACTGCGCAGCGACAAAGAGTGGTGCCAGATGTGCTCTGTCGTCAGCGAATTCTGACCTGCTTCGCGATTCCGGAAAAGGCATGCAATCCGGAAGCGGAATGACGACATTGAGGGTAGTTTTGGATATTAGTCAGACTGAGCTAGTATCGGAAACCCCCTTCCGCGGGTTCAGACTTTTTGCTCTTTCACTCTCTCACAAACCCTCTTTTTCCTTTTCACATTAAATTACCTGACAAATTAGCATAATGACAGTTCCACTCGTCGCCAAGCAGCTGACCGGAGACGCGGCCGCTGCCGTGGCTGCTATTGCCACTTCCAAGCCCACGATGGCGCTGGGCACGCCCTGGGAGAACAACAAGCCGCTGTGGGTGTTTGGCTACGGCTCCATCATCCACAAGGTCGACTTTCCGGTAGAGGCCAGCGTCTTTGGGTTCATCCGCGGCCGCAAGCGCGCGTTCCTGCAGGACTCGCACGACCACCGCGGCACCGAGGAGAACCCCGGCCGTGTCTGCACGCTAATTCCCGTGGCCGAGTGGAACCGGATGTTCAGGCAGTCGGTGGACCCGCACAGCTCCGTGTGCTGGGGCGTCGCGTACAAGGTGCAGAGCGGCAAGGAGGCCGAGGTCAAGAAGCACCTGGATTACCGGGAGAAGGACGGATACACCATCGATTTTGTCGATGTGTTTGAGGAGGAGGGCATGCCGCCGGTGCTGGGCAATGTCATGGTGTATGTTGGCGTAAGCGATAACCCATCGTTTGCCGGCGCATCGTCGATGGAGGAGACGGCCGCGATTATTGCCAAAGCCGAGGGCCCGTCAGGCACCAACAGAGAGTATCTGTTCAGGCTGTGCAACGCACTGCGTGAGCGCAGGGATGATGCACTGGATCCATATCTGAGGGAGCTGGAGGAGCGAGTCAAGGAGCTGGCAGCGGCTTCATAGGATGATTGCTGGCTGTAGAAAACAATTGGTAGTAGAATTTCAAAAAGGATAGAGTAAAAACGGAAGGTTAAAAAGCTGAAAGAAGGCTGGCTGCAGCAAGCTGGCACAGAGGTAGCCTTGGGATCATAAAGCAACCCGAGTTTGCTAGAGACCAAACATGTTATTCTGGCTGGCCTGTGACTGCTGCTGCGCAAACGGATTGAACTGCTGCTGCTGTGGCTGCTGCTGCTGGGCATTGAATCCGCCGCCGCCCATCATGTTCATGCTGCTCATGTTGTTCATGTTGTTCATGTTGTTCATGGCGTTCATGTTGCCCATGCC